TGGTACTGGCCTGAAGACCTCCACTTTAAGACCAATGGAACAGAACAGAGAGCCCAAAAGTATACCCTTGCGTATTTGGTCAAATGATTTTTGACAAGGGTACCAAGACCATTCAATGGGGGAAAGAAGAGTCTTTTCAACAAATGGTGCTGGAAAAAATGGTTACCCACATGAAAAAGAATGAAGTTGGACCCTTACTTGACACCATAAACAAAAATGAACTCAAAATGGGTGAAAGATCTAAATGTAAGTCCTAAAACTATAAAATTCTTAAAAGAAAACATAGGGCAAGAGCTTTACGACATTGGATTTGACAATGATTTCTTAGATATGACACCAAAGGTACAGGCAACAAAAGATAAAACAAATTGGACTTAATGAAAAATTTAAAATTTTGTCTATCAAAAGACAATATCAATGAGTAAAACGGCAACCCATAGAATGGGAGAAAGTATTTGCAAATCACATATCTGATAAGGGATTAATATTCAGAGTATAGAGACAACTCCAACAACTCAACAACAAAAAGACAACCCAACTCAAAAATGGGCAAAGGACTTGAATAGTCCTTTGAATTTCTTCAAAGAAGATATACAGATACACAATAAGCACATGAAAAATGCTCAACACTACTAATCATTAAGGAAATGTAAATCAAAACTACAATAAGATACTAATCCACACTGATCAGGATGGCTACTATCAAAAAAACAGAACATAATAAGTGTTGGCAAGGATGTGGAGCAATGGTACACTTGCTTGTACACTGTGGGAATGTAAAAGGGTATAGCTGCTGTGGGAAACAGTATGGAGGTTCCTCAAAAAATTAAAAATAGAATTACAATATGACCCAACAATCCCATTTCTGGGTGTATACATTAAAAGCAAGGTCTTGAAGCGATATTTATACACTCATGTTCACAGCAGCATTATTTAACAATAGCTAAAACGTGGAAGCATCTCAAGCGTCTATCTACCGATGAATGAATAAGCAAAATGTGGTTTATACACACAATGGAATATTATTCAGCCTTAAAAAGGAAGGAAATTCTGACATGTGCTACAACATGGATGAACTCTGGGACATTATGCTAAATGAAATAAGCCAATCACAAAATGACAAATACTGTATGATCCCACTTTTATGAGCTACTTAGAGTAGTCAAAATCATAGACAGAAAGTAGAACGGTGGCTGCCAGGGGCTTGGGGGAGAGGGGAATGGAGAGTTCTTGATTAATGGGTATAAAGTTTCAGTTTTATAAGATGAAAAGAGTTATGGAGATGGGTGGTAGTAATAGTTTTACAAAATTATGAATGTATTTCATACCACTGAACTGTACACTTAAAAATGGTTGAGATGGTAAATCTTATGTTATGTGTATTTTACCACAGGAAAAAAAAATTGAAAAAAAATATGCCAAAAGTTTTCCTAACCAGTTATTAAAAAACAGAAGGAAAGATTCAACTTATTTATAATAGTAACAAGAAAGATAAAATAACCTACAGAACTGGGAATTAGGATGAGTGGATAAGAAACGTGTAACAGTCATATGAAGAAAATGAATTCTACTGAAGGACGTTAAGGTAAACTTGAACAATTGAAAAGTAAAAGCTTGTACTTAGAAAAAGCCATTCTTTTAAACATCAGTTCTCTCTCAATAATCTTTAAATTCAATGCAATGTCAATTGAAATACTAGTGGATTCTTCTTTTGGTAACTTGACAAAATAATACAAAATGAGGGGAAATTAGCCCTAACAGGTATTAAAATTGTTTGTAACCAGAAAAGTAAAGATTAATGAAACAGAATAAAATGGCAAGATCCAGATGTAGACATTTGCAAGGACTTAATTACATGATAAAAATGGCATTTTAAATCTCAGGAGCTGTTAAGCCACATGGCTAGCTATTCGGAATATAAGCAAAGCTGAATCCTCACCTCTTCCCTTAAACAAAAAGTAATTCTAGATGGGTTAAAGATTTAAGCATAAAAAATAAAAACATAAAAGTTATAAAAGGGGCCAGCCCAGTGATGTAGTGGTTAAGTTCATGGGCTCCCCTTCAGCGGTCCAGGGTTCACAGGTTCAGATCCTGGGTGCAGACCTACATACCGCTCATAAAGCCATGCTGTGGCAGGCATCCCACATACAAAGTAGAGAAAGATGTGCATGGATGTTAGCCCAGAGCCAATCTACCCCAGCAAAAAGAGGAGGATGGGCAACAGATGTTAGCTGAGGGCTAATCTTCCTCACCGAAAAAAAAAAAAAAAGTTATAAGAGAAAATATGGGTAATTAAAAATTTTTCTTTCAGCATGAGCACGTAGAAAATTCTTTACATAAGACACAAAAGTGAGGGGCTGGCCCTGTGGCTTAGCGGTTAAGTGCATGTGCTCCACTACTGGCGGCCCGGGTTCAGATCCCAGGCGCGCACCGACGCACTGCTTATCCGGCCATGCTGAGGCAGGGTCCCACATACAGCAACTAGAAAGATGTGCAACTATGACGTACAACTATCTACTGGGGCTTTGGGTAGAAAAAGGGAAAAAAAAGGAGGAGGATTGGCATGGATGTTAGCTCAGGGCTGATCTTCCTCACACACAAAAAAAACAAAAACACAAAAGTGAGATGCCATAAAGAAAAAAACTGATTAAAATTTTTTAAATCCTATATGAAAAGTATCTATAACATATATAATAAACTAACTAATCTCCTCAACTTACCAAGAACTTGTATGAATAGACCAATAGAAAAATGTGTAGAAGATAAACAGGGAAGTTTACAGAAAAAGAAATCAAAATGTCCAATAAATATATAAGAAAGACACTGGATTTAATCAAAATTAAAGAAATGCAAACCAAAACCATGGAAAACTCTATCCAAACAGAAAAAAATATATTAAAAATTTAACAATACCACATGTTCGTGTGGGAAAACAGGCCCTGTCACACATTGCTGGTGGGAGTGCCAACTGATGCAGTATATAAGAAGCCAAACAGAAGTAACATGCTCATAAATGTTTTTAAAACAATAGATATGATATTAAAATTTCTGGCTACAATGTTCATTTAATTATCTTAATGTTCCATATATAGCTTACAATAATTTAAAGAGGATAATAATGGGCAGGCTGTGGGGCAAAATGTCCAGAAAGTAAATGTCATAGTAGTAGAAATATAGATGAAAGACAGATTATTGTCCCAGAACGTGCAGAGCCCTCTCCCTTAACTGCCAGTACGCTCAGAGTAGAATTTAGCCAGTGTTTCTGGTACTACTTATCTACCCCTCTCCCTTTATCCCCCGCCCCACTCTCCATCCCCATTCCACCACTTCCTAGTAAAAAGATCTTACAAACCACTACTAAGTTTCTTCATGTGTAAAATGCAGATGAGTACTCTTCTCTGAGTTACTTTTAGGGATTAAGTGAGACAGTACAGGTAGGATGTGACACATAGTAACCATTCAATAAATAACAGCTGCTAGTTAGATGCTAAATCATCCTATTCCATTACACAGGTTTTGATATTTTATTCCCATGGTTAAAAGGTTCTACTATATAGTACATATTTTTTCTCTATATGTGTTTTTTCCTAAAATTTGTCTTAAATTCTTTTTAAAAGCAGGCAAGATATTTAAAAATAAATGTTAATGTAACAAGAATATAGTTAGTCATTGCTGTTCCAAATGCATTCCCTGTTACAGGAAAGAATTAGTAGAAAATGGACATTATTACACTGAACAAGAGAGGGCTGACCTCACTTAGCAAAGGGGATGGTTTCACAAGGCCTATAGCCACACACAATTATTGCTGTGATGGGTTTGCTTTCTAGTGAATCTTGATGACGGAGAACAAACCTCAGAGAAACACTGATTAGACTCCTCATAATAACTAAAAGCAGAGCATCTTGGTTTTTACCAAAGGGAAAAGGATATGTTTTCCATGAATGTATGCCTGCTTGTTGTTCTCTACACGCATGTCCAAGAAGACATCAAGTATGCGCCACACCGACTGGGAAACGACTGGGAAACGCTAGATCCAGCTCTCCCTGAGGCACGAATAACTGGTCTCAGTTACTTTTCATCTCTCCTGAGCCATCCTCCACTTCCCTGACCCCTTAACACACCCATCCACTGCAACAAAGGTAAGAAAGGAAAAGGGCGAAAAATACCTTTTTCTCAGGAAATCATACAATGCCCAGTAATATCGGGTCAAAACTCTTAAAAGTTACTCCTACTGTGACCTTTCCACATTTTCTTTTTCTTCCCTCTCATCCTACTCCTGCTCTGTTCCTTCCCCATTTGTCTTGTATCCAGCTCTACTATTACCCCATTCACACTCAACACGTTATCATTTGTGTGAATTCTGTCTCTCCTGTGTGCACTCTAACAGCAAGAAGCACGTCTTTCTCTTCACCTGTTAAATCCCCTGCACAGCACCTAGCAGAAAACCTAATAGGAGGTGCTGGAAGATATTTTAAAATAAGTGAATAAAATATATTACAAAGAGCCCTGGATCAGTGGTCAGAAAACTTAGACGCTAGCATTAATAATGCTATCTGCTGGTTCTGTAGCTTCATATTTAAGCATTTAAGTACCAGTTTCCTCTTCTATAAAATAGGACTTTTACTTTGCATATGGTTTTACAAAATGAGAGGATGAAAATAAAAAGTACTTGTTGTTATACTAGTTTAAAGCGACAGCCGTGGTTACTTCTGTTGAACAATATTATTTGTCAACCAACTTTCTAAACTTAAGTAGCAATAGTACAGTACAGTTATTCTATTAGGAGAGGCATATTTCATTAATACAGGTAGATTTAATTAGTTTACTTGCTTTTTCTTAAACTAATAAAGGCACAAGCAGCTGGTAAGACACTGATTTGCATTATGTCATCACAAGTATATATAATGCTTATGTTTCGAAACAGAAATGGCCCATGTTAATTGCATTGTGGTTTTCTGATCTTAATTAGGATTTAGATATAAAGTATTTGGATATTTCTTACCAGGCTCTGGAAGGTCTAATTTTGCCCGCTTTAGTTCTGCCATAGAAATCTGAAGTTGCTCTATTGCAAAGTCATCTTCGAAGAAAAAATCCTTTGCCAGGGTCTCCTGAAGAAATTCTACAAGTTCTTCCATAGACAATTTCATTAGATGTTCTAAGAAAGGATGAGAGAAATAAAAATGCTGAGTCAACCACTACTTTAGGTTGAGAAGATAATGTATTCTATTCTGGTGTAGTATTTTTTTTAAAGGGCACAGCATACAACTTACATATGGCACTGTAAATATCGCTGAAATTCAATAAAACAAAAATATTTTCTGATATTAAAGCTGTCACAGAGAAAAGCAGGTATTCTTGGCAGGGGTGAGGGGAGGTGAATACTGCTAAATATCTTCTCGTTGGCTTAAGAATACCCATTCCTAGGTATTAATATTAACTCAGAGAAATTAACCTTAATTAATATTAACCGTAGAGACAATAGACACAGAAAGACTACCCAAGAGGACATGAGGACTTTCTGTTTTATTGATATGGAGCTCCAACTACCATAGGCAAATCCACTTTCAGGTCTATATTTTTACTGTTTCAGAATTTCCAAAAAAAATCTGGATTATTAATTTTATTTGTATTTATGAGATTAGTTTTATTGAAAAAATTCAAATTACAGACACAAAGCAGAAAGTAAAAATCAGCTAAGTTCCCACTAGCTACTGCCCTACAAGTAGATGTGTGTACACAAGCATCAATTTAAAAAATAAATTATATTTTCCACATTCGTCACCTCCTTGTTTTTTCCCTACTCAATAATGTACATCACTGATATCTCTAATTCAAATATGATTTTACACCATCATTATTAATAACTATATAAGAGTCCATTGTATGTACGCCCTGTAATTTACTTAGTCTTCTAATACTGGACATTTAGGTTGTTACTAATTGTCCACCATGTGATGAATCTCCAGTAATAACATCTCTAAATATTGTTAAGGCAATCAGGAAAAACCAAGAAAAAAATCTTAGGAGCTTCAGCTAACTATCAGTTAAGTGCCCAGACACAGTCTTTGAACTTCATGTGAGTCCTTGAGCTTTGTCTTCCTAACTATGAAAAAAAACACAGCAGGAGACAGATTTTTTTCCACAGCTTACTTAGTCTAATGATATGGCAGGATATAAAGTAATTGTTACACAAAGTTTATTTACAAAAGGTAAAGAAACTTTTCACTTGTCAAAATTAATCAAGAGTCATATAAACAAAACATAACTTAAGAGGGAGAACAGAGCTATGGAGAAATATAACACCATGTTTCCACTTTCTCACTGTTTAGGGAACATTAATAAGTACACATCTTAATAAAAAGAATACTTTTGTTCTATATCTTGGTCAATTCATAATCCAGAAGAGGGGGAAAGGGGAGGGGAAGGGAGGGAGGGAGACAAGGAGGGGGAGGGAAGGAGAGAGGTTGATTGATTTCCCAGGGTTACATGACAGACCCTAAGTCTTGGGAGACAATTCACTGTCAATTGATTTGTTTTGGTGCTCTGCTTTGTGTGTTGGGGGAGTAAGGATTGGGTGTAAGGGAAATGAACCACAACACTTCTGAATCTTTTCCTTTCAGAGTAAACAATACAAATGTGATTTTATAGGAAGTCTTCATTCCTATCTCAAGTTTGGATAAGCTTAAGTCCATGCTTTTCAAGTACGCAATCAAACAGTCTTATATTAAAGCACCTGACAGGTACTTAGAACAATGCCAAGCACAGCAGGGAGAAAAACTACAAAACATGACCCCAACTACTCAATTAACTTATCATTTAGTTGGGAAGCTGAACAGATGAATCATTCAAGAATAACATAAGAGTAATCAATGAATATGAAACACATTGTATAACCCAGATTAGAAGTGCTACATGAAGTCCCAAAGCTTTCAATGATTCTCCTCTCTGCATAGTTACAAGAAGAGTTACTATAAGGAGTTGTAATTTTAAAGGCTGAACTGAGACTTTAAGATGAATAAGGTTCTTCATATTCATGAAGAAAAAACACTTATTTCTTGATTTTTTTTTTTTTTTTTTGTGAGGAGATCAGCCCTGTGCTAACATCTGCCAATCCTCTTTTTTTGCTGAAGAAGACCGGCCCTGGGCTAACATCCGTGTCCATCCTTCTCCACTCCATATGGGACGCCGCCACAGCATGGCTTGCCAAGCGGTGCATCGGTGCACGCCAGGATCCCAACCGGCGAACCCTGGGCCGCTGCAGCGAAGCGTGTGCACCGAACCGCTTGCGCCACCGGGCCGGCCCCTCTTATTTCTTGATTTTTAAAGCAAGGCATAGCACATCAAATTTATAGAGTCCTTGAACTATTACAACTGAAGACTTTGTAAAGCCTTGTTGCATTCAGGTGACTATAGATATTGACTGTACTTGCCCCAGAGGCCACAATGTTGTCAAGCAGAGAGATGAGCTGGATGTTCCCCATCTCTGGTCTACACCTTGGAGCTGGATGCTTTTTCCTGGATGAAGGAAACAGTAATGGAAAATGTGCTCTCCAGACTTTTAATTAAGGGGCCAAGTTTCTTTGGTCTCTCTCTTCTCCTATGACAAACCTGAGATTCAGACTGACAAAAATGAATAGGGGATCTCAGTGGAAACAAATCCTTAGTAAGAATAATATTATTAGTGAAACCCACACATTGCATTTTACTGCTTAAGTGTGAAAATGAAACTGATATAGAGACCTTTGAAATGTAGTAAGCTTCTAGTCATGAGAAAGAACCAATCAACGTAAATTACCAACTGAAAATTTCTTCATGGATTTTCAAAACATTTTTAAAACCACTATGAAAAGAAAATGAATTTGAAGTTGGGTGGGGAATGAGAAATCAGAGTTAAAATAAGCCTTGATTTTTGTGAAATCTTTACAGTTAAACATTTTCTTACTTTTGTGTAATTTTAAAATTGTGTAAGACATAGCAGTAAGAACTCGTTCTCCTTCAAAGATGTAGATATCCCATATTCTCAGGTTTAGTGTAAAGGGAGTCTATAATTAAAAACAAAACAGAAACAAGATGAACAGTTTGCCTTTGTCTGATATTTATAATTTTATGATTGGGTTTTGCAAATAAATACTCACACGATCAAGGAAACATTGAAAAAACCACTTCATTGTGTAAAAACTTGTGTAGATTTCTTGAGAATCCTGAAAAAACAAAGACTTCACAATTTCTGGATTGTAGCAAACAAAATGTGACAATATAACACCAAAAGCTAGGAAGGCTGCTTCAAGTAGCTGTCAAAGCTAAACATAAAAGCATTTCGTTACAAATCTTTTGCCATGCTGGAGTATATCTATTTTTTCTCTTCTTACTACTCCCTCAATTTCACTTTTGAAAATCACCCTAAGAATAAATCCTTCTTATATAGGATTGTAATACAACATTTTAATTCTCCTTAATGTATTTTATAGGGAAGTATCTTCGCTTTACTAAACTACCATGTTTTATGGTAGAGCACATATATGGTTCATTAAGGACAAGTCTGACCTTTAAAATAGTTTTTGTGCAAAAAAAAAACCTTACAATTACTGAGAAATCATATATCCTTAAAAACTGTATTGTTTGTATATATCATCTTCAAAGAAGTAGTTTGATTCTATAAGTTAGAGCTGTGAAAGTTCATCAATACTAATTTCACAAATCTAATGCTCTTCAAACAACTGGGAATTATAACTGCACAGAAAATGAAACGGACAACACTCTAAATCAAGAAGGTAATTGAGACCAAAAGCTGCACTCGGTTTATTCTTAGTGTAAGTCAATATCACATCTACCTACCAGGTGTTGCTTAAGCTTGGACAGGAATTTATTCAGTATTTTATCATGATGTTCTTGAAATCTCAAGAGTTTAGGAAAACCTTGGACAAAAAAGCCTAGAATACAAACATAAAAACAATATTTCATAAACAATACCAATAAAAATTCCTATTTTTTTTTTTTTTAAAGATTTTATTTATTTTATTTTTCCCAAAGCCCCAGTGGATAGTTGTGTGTCGTAGCTGCACATCCTTCTAGTTGTTGTATGTGGGACTCGGCCTCAGGATGAACGGAGAAGTGGTGCCTCGATGCGCACCCGGGATCCGAACCCGGGCCACCAGCATCGCAGCGCGGGCACTTAACCACCAAGCCACAGGGCCGGCCCTAAAAAAAATTCCTATTTTAAAATGCAACATATTTTTTTCATTTTTAACTGTCAACAAACAACATGCTGATTACAACAACAAAAAATCCAGCAGTTACCAAAATATTTTTCCTCCCCCCTCAGGAAATAATTGTGTATAAGCTTTGGGTAATGAAACTTGAAGTGTAGTACTTATTTGCTAAAGATCTCCTAAAACCTTGTAAAAATATGAAAGAGGCCTGAATATTCCTGAATTAAAAGGAAAACTAAGAAGCTAAGAAAAAATGGAAGCTGAAGCCATTTATTAGGATTACCTGTTCTCTTAAAGTATCTTAGAGCATATCTGAAATGTACAAATTTTTATAGGTTATTTTAATCTTGATTACTAATTTTGTTTTATTGTTAATACGTTACATAACAAACATTTTATTACTTTCAGGTTTACTCTAACAATTTCATTAGTATCATGCTTCCAAAGTTTGTATCACTTTTAAATCCTTTCTATAAGTGATATTTAACATCAGCTAAAACATACTGGCACTGTATGATCAATGTTACATTAAAATTTATATTTTGTGCAACTGATCATACAATATAATGTATAAGAGTTCTAGGAAGTAACTAATTATAAATGGTAAGTTAAGTTAATTTTATGTATTTAACTCATGGAACTTTACATCTATTTTTAGTCACAAGTTTCCTGTCAGATATTCTATACAATCCATTAAAAACGACATACACTCAATGGATTTATGATTTTTCCACATTAGTTATTTCCAACCTGGGTTCTATGTAACTCTGAAACATGTTACTAGACGTCCTACGTTTGTAAAAAGAATCCAGGGGAAACACCATATGTTAGATATATCCTACTTGCATATTCATGATGCGTATGAGCGTCTTAATATTTTTAAGTTGTTTTATAGACTAAAGAAACTTGGTGGCGTTTTTTGTTTGTTTAACTCAATCTCCTACACTTACTTGATCTTGGAGTCCATTTTTTTCCCATGAAACATCTGTTTTTAAAAAGTGGAACAGGGGCCGGCCCGGTGACACAAGCGGTTAAGTGCGCGTGCTCCACTACAGCGGCCCGGGGTTCGCCGGTTGGGATCCCGGGCGCACCGACGCACCACTTGCTGAGCCATGCTGTGGCAGCGTTCCATATAAAGTAGAGGAAGATGGGCACGGATGTTAGCCCAGGGCCAGTCTTCCTCAGCAAAAAAGAGGAGGATTGGCATTGGATGTTAGCTCAGGGCTGGTCCTCCTCACAAAAAAAATAAAATAAAAAGTGGAACTACGTTCCTTCAAGGATCAAGGAACACACTGTTGAGAAACACTGCTTTAAAGTCTTTGGGGAAGCACTATTTGTTAACTAGTTCTCAGTTTTCTATGGTGTGTGTAAAAATTTCCAGAGGTAAAGACTCCATTTCTCCTCTAAGAACACTTTCAAGTGAAATAATTTCATTTAAAAAATCTATATTTCTCTATCTGTGCCACTTTCATGGTCAATTTGATAGGAATGGCAATTGGAAGAATTTCAAGAAAAAGTCTGATTTTGAAAAAGGCAGTGCTCCTCAATAATAAAAACTAGCTCAAGGATGTTAAGATACCTAACACTTCCTCACTTTTCAGTGATATCCCAGACTTGACATGTCAAATCTCATTTTCTTCAGCCCTCACTTTATTCTATACATTTATAAGTGATACCACTTTCATATAGGAGATGCAAAGAACTGAGGTAACCCTTCATTATAAAATTTCACAGGCATACTTAGAAACAAATATCTCTAAGTACAAACCTACCCATAATAATGACATAAACTGCACTGTAACTGTAAATGTTAAGGACACTAAAATTAATATTGCTTTACAGATTAGACTGGTGACAATAATTGCTGAAAGTGAGCTATCAGGTATGTTTAAAAGAAATGGGCAGTCTCCCACATAATTACGTACTACTTAAATTGTAACATTCCATTGTACTTCAACATACATCAGCACACCACCCTACGGTAAAGCAAAATAAAGATGGATAAGGAAGAGTCATTTTTCTTCAAGATGCCTTTTTAAATTATATTGTCTACTGGATGGCAGTTCAAGTCTTACTTTTGGACTCTATGAGCAAAGTGATATGAGTTATGTATATGAAACAGTTATAACTGTTATGAAACAGTTATCAGGCAGATAGTATTTATTAAAACAAATTCACAAAGAACACTGAGGGAGTTTGCCAAATGCAAACACACATGCACACACATACCACACACACACACACACACACACACACAAAATACCACCACAAAAACCACATGCTAAGAATGTGAGATTTAGTAAACTATGGTCATAATTTTGAAAATGTTAAAATATTACTTTAAACATGCAGCAGGTTCTCCACTGCATAAAGCTTAAATATTCACAAACAGAACTTAGATGATCCATTCTCAGGGTGATTAGTTTTAAAATTTGTTTTTAATTTGGTATTATCACATGGACGGCACTGGGAAAATAATTTTGCATTATATAGACAAATGCCATTTTTATTTCCAAGAAAAGCTGCAATCCCAACTCTAAAATAAAGTTTATTGCATATGGTTGGCAAATATACGGAAAAAGTTATTAAAAACAGTTGTCTAACTTGAAAACCAAAAAATTATGCAAGTTTTGAAATGTTAAATAATCAAGTGCCCAGAACATGTTATCAGCCTTTTATTGTAAAATGGAAATCAATTTAATGGCTGAAAGAACTAAAAACTACTTGAAATACAAAACTACTTAATTATTATGTACCTTTCCTTTAAACACCTAAGTGTCATTTCTCAATTAATATTCTTTGACAAAGACTTACACACCACAATATCCAGTCACTAGTAAACATTTCCTGAAATGATAATTGTATGACTGTCTAAAACTTTTGATCAAAAGGTATCTTTTATTTCTCCCAATAACACAGCTTTTCCTAAGTTCCTCCAAACCTAAACTGGTTTCTTCTGACTGGGGGCCAATAAGGAAAGAATTTTAAAATGCCAACAGTATACTTTACGGCAAACACAAAGGAATATAAAAGTGAACAGAAAGGTTTAGAAAAGCTGAACCAAGAATGAAATAATTAGTAACAAACATTAATTAACTTCAAAAGCCCCTAGACATTAAGTTTTTGTACTTAACTTTACCAAGCATCTTCCAAAGTCTGACTTTGTTTTATTGTTTATGATAAACTATGGGGTTTTCTTACCATGCATGGCATGTTTGGGGCCAGAGAACAGTTTGACCAGGGCCCAGAAGGCATCTTCTTCATTCATATACATAAGGAGTAAAGCTGTGATCTGGCTCATCCCCTGACAGTATCCAACTTCCTAAAGAGTAAATGAGAAACAAAGAAACTGGAGTTTTAAGACCAAGTTATATGTACATGCACATATAAAAAACAAATAAAACAATCAGAAAATGCCTAAACACATTATTTAATGGACAATTCTACAGATAAATAATACAATCTTTACAGCATTGAGCTACATACCACAAAAGAATAAATTTGCGTTCAAGAACAAATGTAGAAGTGTGGACAAAGTCTAAACCTACACACATATTTTTAGTGTCCCCTGTTCAATAACATTATACCTTCTGTAAAGAGCGCTAACCATTTTTTTTCTTTTTTATGTATGTTTCTCAGCTCAACAATCCTGTTCTTTGCTCAGATGCTGGCAAATCTCTCTCCTCCTACAGTTCCCAATTTGCTGTCTTGTCTCCTCTAGATTTCTGGACCCTTATACACACACATTTTGGGATACCCATGCAGCCTATGCCCCTTCTCTGAGAACTGCCCACTCTCCCCACATTCCCTGCTTATAACTGGCCTTAGGGACTCAAGTTTCTGCCATATGAACCAAAGCTGATGGAGCGGAAGAGGACACCTAACCTCAAGGGAACAATTAATTGGCTGCACTGACTAATCAGATACTCTCTCTAGGAAATCTGAATCAAGTCACAGAGACTGTAATCAGATGGTGGTATGTACTTCAACAGAACGGTCACGTTGAGTCTATGGGTGCAATTTTAGCCAAGGAAAACTGATAAGTGGAAAAAGAAAGCAATCTGGAGAGAGAAACAGTGGAACAAACGGTTTACAGAGATAATCAAAGTTACCATGTGGCCCCAGAGTGGAAGAGACAGAAAGTGTAGCTATCTGTCTCACTGAAGGCTTCTCCCTTTCCAGCTCCAGTTCCCATGAGGTCCACTATATGAGATGTCCCTTTAATAAACTCCTTTTTAACTTGCCCTAGTTTGAGTGAATTTCTTGTAATTTAAAGGTTTTAATTACAATAGAAATTATACATCCCAAGGTTCAAGGTTGTCTTCCCTGCAACCTAGTCAAAAAGCATTTCTTTAACATCTGTATTAGGTTCAACACTAATTGATCTTTCCCCAAATTACCATCTCCCCTAAAGTGATAAATACCTTAGGAACAACATGTTCTATTACCAAGAAGTTTCGTTTCAGCCTACTCTTGAGGATAGCCAGTGGGTACACACGGTATCCTATTTAGATCCCACCGCGTAGATAAAATGGGATCCTGAAAGGCAACCTCCCGGGGGCAATGAAGAGTGATCAAGAGTCAAGCAAAAATTAATCTAGCCGCCAACTTCCTGCCCTTCTAGTCCTGCTCATTCCCAGTCCTTTGCTTAAAATAAAAACAAAACAAACAATACACAAAACATAACGAAAAAGAACAACCTGGAAAAAGAGAAAAGCAGTGAGATTCACTGGCATACAGCGCTGCTCTGAGACTCCACAGTTACCAGAGGGGGCTTGAAAAGATCGACAGAGCTGAAAGAGACTGCAGAGACCATCCAGCCCTGAGATAAAGACATCTGGCCCAAAAGGGTCTTGTTGGATAGGAGGGCCAAAAGAGTCTTCCAGTTCCTTAGAACACGACTCAAAGAGCTGTGCGTGAGCACGCTCCAACTTACCGTATTATAAATGGAATATGCAGCAAGAACATGAAATAAGGACTGTTGCCTAGAGAAAAGAAAATTTACATTGAATGCAATTTAGTTACTTCACATATTTCTAAAATTATAAACTTAAAAAAACAAAGAAGTTGCTTAGATAATAGATAATCCAGATAATATTATTACTGTAATGAAATGATCCGAAGCTCAAATTTAAACAATACTCTCTACAGTCTAAATTTAAGGTTAGGTAACATTCACTCTGATAGAAAGAACTTACACCAAAGAACACAACGGGCTTCACAAGCTCTTTAATTTGTTGCCCTCTTTCACTGAACTATTCTCACTAAAAAATCATCCCCATAGAAGCAGCTGACTTGACAGGACTATGGAATGGCCTTTTCAAGCCTCAGTTACAGTGCCAGCTGGGTGCAAGACCTTGCAGGGCTGAGGCAACGTCCTCCAGGAGGCTGTATATGCTCTAAATCAGGCTCCAACATATGGTGCTGTCTCTCCCACAGTCAGGGTTCAGGAGTCCAAGACACAAGGGGAGGAAATGGGAGTGGCTCCACCCACTATTATCCCTAGCTGTCCACTAGCAAAATGTTTGCTTCCCATCCCGTCAACCTTAGGCTCTGCTGGTCTAGAGGTCTTAGTTCCAAAGGGAGGAACGTTTCCACCAGGAGACACAATAATGATTCCACTGCACTGGAAGTTGAGACTGTCACTCAACCACTTTGGGCTCCTCATGCCTCTGAATCAACAGGCAAAGAAGAAGGTGACTGTACTGGCTAGAGGGATTGATCCTGATTACTAAGGGAAAACTGAGTTGCTGCTACACATGTAAGGAAGAGCACGTCTAGAACACAGGAGAATACTTAGGGTGTCTCTTAGGATAACTAAGCCTTGTGATTAAAGTCAATGGAAAACTACAACAATCTAATTCAGGCAGGACTGCTAATGGTCCAGAGCCTTCAGGAATAAAGCTTAAAGTCAGCCCACCAGGTAAACAACTATGACCAGCTGATATACTGGCTGAGGGCAATGGGAATATGGAATGGGTAGTGGAAAAGGAGTTATAAACCAGCTATGATCACAAGCCCAATTGCAGAAATGATGATTACACTTGTTACGAGAATTTCTTCCTTATTTTGGTATGAATATGTTTGTATATATATTAAAAAATATTTTGCTTTCCTCCTCTTTTCCTTTTTCATCTAACATATTAGTTATATTAGTCAGATATATTAATAACAGTTAACTTTATATCACAGTATTTAGGTTATAGAACATCAAAGCAGAAAAGTGAACATCACCCAAGAACTTTGCATCCTCTTGTGGGGAAAGGGTTAGCATATTTTCAGTCCCAGGCAGAAGAGTTGTATCATGCTAGGCAGAAGTATGACTTTACTTGGAAAGTCATAGATAAGTTGACAAGGGTGGACTGTGATGGTCAACTTTATGTGTCAACTTGGCTAGGCCACAATCCCAGATATTCAAACACTAACCTGGGTATTGCTGTAAAGAAGATATTTTGTAGATGTGATTAAAATCCATAATGAGTTGACTTTAAGTAGGGGAGATTATTCTATATAATCTTATTGAATCAGGGTAGGCCTAATTCAATAAGTTAAAAGGTCATAACAAGAGATCTGAGGCTTCCCGGAAAGAGAAATTCCTTCTGTGGACAGCAGCTCAGCTCGTGCCCAAGAGTCCCAGCCTGCCCTTCCTGATGGCCTGCCTCATGGAACTTGGACTTGCCTAGTCAGCCCCCACAATTGTGTAAGCCAATTCCTCGCAATAAATCTCTTAATATACATCTCCTACTGGTTTCTGTTTCCCTGGTTAAACCTTAATTGATACAGAGGTCAGCAAAACTGTACCTTTCATTCACAAACTGTCATAGTAACTTCATTTATTCATTTCTCATTTTTTTTACTTTCCTCTATGCATGGGGTCAAGTTTATTGGAATATACTTGTCACTGACATGGTTCTCAAAAAGTAATACAATCTCTAATTTCAATCTAAGGCTTTTAATAAAAGTATCTACTATATTTTTAAGAATTCCCAGACCATAAAATGATTCTTCAGCTTTTAATAAAAGTATCTACTAAGTTTTTAAGAATTCCCAGACCATAAAATGATTCTTCACCAATTTTATAGCACCTAGGATGTCAAAGGTTAAAAATTTAAGTTAACTTAGATCCTAAGTTTCACATAACATGAACCAAATGATCTGCAAAAGCTTAAATCTTTAGGACCTGAATCAAAATTATAGTTCATACAAGACATTCTAAACACTCACATTTTAAGTTAACAAAAACTTTGATAAAGACTATTTATAAATGCTATTTACATTCATAATATTAAACTTTACTTACTTAACACCATATCTGTCTCTAAACATAATATGGTCCCTAAATGTGCGGTTGACATCAAGGTCTATTTGTCTGATATCTGGTGAACAACCCCGTGCTCTGTGTTTTAATTTCTGAAGAGGAAAAAGAGGGGAAGAAAGCACATTTTTATGGAAATCAGTTGTTGAAAAGTCTATGACAAACAGTAAAATAATTCTCATTAAAAAACTTTTTTTGGTTTAGGAAATTCCTATGGTTCAAAACCGAAAACAACATAAAAAGGCACACAATGAAAGGTTTCTTTCTCACCCATGCCCCTGTCTCTCACATCCATCCTCTCCCTCTTCCCACCACTTCTTCTCCCTCCTATCCCGTCAATACAGTTGGATTTTAATTTGGGATAGAGCACTTTTCGGAGTTTGGATTGCTAACACCATGTAAAAGCTCTTCACAGCCGAGCCATGCAGTCCACTACGAGTTTTCTTTTCTTTCTAGCACAATATTTTTGTTTTCCTTGGAGCTAATCATTGCCTTGTTTCTTGATTTGCTTCATTTTCTACATACTTATCGCTAATTCAATCCCAAACTCGCTTTAAGTTGCATACATCTCCTCTGGTGATGCTGAAATAGAGTAGGTATTCTCCCAATTTCAACTTCTTGCAGACGTCTCTCCCAGAGATTTCTGATCGGCTCCAGTCTGGCTGGTTGACCTCTGGGCCGGCTGCACAGCTGGTGTCTTGGCGTGTCCCTTCACCATCTGCTAGGCCCTCCTTTGCTTGGGTCCCCTATTCCCTGGATCTCAACTCCTCTTTCTTGATGTACCCCCTTGTGCTGGAGGAGCACATCCTCCAGCAGCTCCTTTGAAAGGGTGTATGGAAGATAAATTTTTTGACGTTTTGAACATCTGACAATTCTACCTTCTTATTTAACTTTTTGGTTATTTTAGAATTCTAAGTTGGAAAATATTTTTGCTCAAAAGGCACTGCCTTCAATGTCTTCTAGCTTCCAGTGTTGCCATTCTAATTCTGGTTTCTTTACATGAAATCTGCTTTTTCACTCTAGAAGCTTATAGGAGTTTCTCTCTTCACGTTCTGAAACTTCACATTTCTGTGCTTGGTTGGATCTATTTTTATCCACAAGATTGGGCACTTAATGAATCTTCTCAATCTTAAATACTCATATTCATAGCTCTTAGTTCTGAGAAATTTTCTTCAGTAATTCCTTTGTTGATTTCCTCATCCGCCCCTCCCATGTTCTTGTTTTTTCTTTCAGGAACTCTTATTATTACAGCGTGGGATCTCCTGGGCTGTCATTTAATTTTCTTCCTTTTTCTCTGTTATTTTCCATCTCTTTGACTTTATCATCTACTTTCTAGGAAATTCCTTCAGTTGTTATTTTCAAACCCTCCTCTAGAATCTTTCATTTCTAGTACCATTTTTTATATTTATAAGCTCTTTGTTGTTATCAAACATTCCTTTTCAGAGCATTCTATACTTGTTTTATGGATGCAGTATTTTGATCCCTCTGAAGATGTTAGAGTTTTTTTAAGTTTTTTTCTTCCTCTATAGCCTGTCTCTTACAAGCTGCTTTTCCTATTTGTTCTTGTGTATTTTTCACGTTAGCTCCTTTCCTCAAATGAATAGCGATACTTCATGGTCTGCTTATATTTAAAGCAGAACGCTAGCAAGCTGATGGAAAGCTGTGTGCAGTCGTGGGGCTTCACAACTGCATCTTCACTGCAGAGGGACCCGCTGCGCAGCTTCACTGGGGTTCCCCTGAAGTCAGAATCACTGGGTTTATTTTCTTAGGCTGGTCAGATTCCCTAAGCAGGCTCTCCTGATCTGTCAGGAAGACAAGCACCCGGCTGCCAATGCTCTGGGAGCTGAGTGGAGGAAAAGGCTGGAGTGCCCCAAATTCAGGATATCCAGTTCCTCCACACTGTCACTAGAGCAGCCCTGCCTGTGGCAATGTCTGTGTTCTCCCCAGTTCAGAGGCCCCCCATTTCATCCTCTCCAAACAGTAAATCTCCAGTCTTGTGCCAGGGTTGCAGTGGGACTTAGGGGCTCTAACTGCTTCTGCAACAGACTCTGAACCACTTCTACTGCTTTTAGCTTCACCTCCACTTCCAGAAGTACCTGGCGTTGGCAATGACCAAGACTTCTGGAGATTTTGAAAGATAAATCAGGTTGCTTCTCTAGTTTCCCACTGCCAGCTTGGATTGTTTTCTCAGGTTCACTAAGTTTACTAAATGTTTGTCTGAATTCTGGTTTCCAAAAATTGGCAGCTGTTATCTCTTCTCCCATTTTCTTATGCCTTGTGGGTTTGCCTTTTAAAAAAACTCTGTTGTCAATTTAGTGGCATTTCAAGGGGAAGGGAGCTAAGAGTATGTTTAATCTCCCAAGTTTAACCAGATAGGAGATTACATGCCTAAGCATAATTAAGCATCTATATACATATGTCATATTGACTCGTTTACCAAGTACTGGTAATATGTATCAATCCAAAAAATATATATAAAAACCTAACTGTTAATTCCTGACTTAAGCTAAAAGTGAAAGAAGTAGGCTATCTGAAACATGTGTGTGTATGTTAAGTGTTTTGTGAGTATGTGTCTATTTGTGTTTTGAGGTGGGAGCTCAGAGAAGGACAGCTTCTGTAGCTTTTCAAAACACGAAGAATAACCACAGTACACTTCAGAGTGCTGGAGACCAAGGAAAACATCTATACTATTGTATTAGAATCAGATGACCACTAAAATACTATTAGATGCTATCTCTGATAAAAGTTAGTCCAGAAGACATTACCAAAATTTAGCTTTAAAAATAATAATCTGTATGTATTTGTTCTTTAAATATTTTTATATTTAATATATCACTAGATGCAAGAGAGTCAAATAACAATGAGATACAATTAAAAGAACAGGAGACAGTAGCAGATAAGAGCAGCAGGTCAGGAGCCAGGACACTTTCACTCATCTTAGAAAAATCTTAGTAGATTAAGAAAAGGTAGTTTTATTCCTACGGAATTTCCAACTTGAAGAGAACAATTTATACCATCTTTGGAGAGGGAGAGTAGGAAAGAGTGACTGTGAAAGGAAGACAGTTTAATGATGCTTGGGAAACTCACAGTAAAAATAATGTTTATGATAGCGTTGAAAATTAGAAGCTTGAAAGTATTGATGGGCAAGTCATTTCTTTTGTTGTTGTTATTGTATGATTGGTTTTTACTAAATGGTTCTCTCATATTAACCAGTACCTGGATAATTTTATTCCATGTAGAAAAAGTCTAAAATCTAACTGAAACCACAGTTCCACTATTAGCACGTGTACTGGGTTGAATAGCGTCCCCTCAAAATTCATGTCTACCCAGAACCTATGAATGCTGACCTGATCTGGAAATAGGGTCTTTGTAGATGTAATGAAGTTAAGATGCGATCATATGGGACTAGGGTGGACCCTAAGTCCAATGACTGGTGTCCCTACAAGGTGAGACACAGACACACACAGGGAAGCAGGCCATGTGAAGGAGGGAGAGACTGGAGTGATGCAGCTTCAAGCCAAGGAAGGCCAGGGACTGCTGGCAACCACTAGAAGCTCGGAAGAGGCAAGGAAGGATTCTTCCCTGGAGCCTTGAGAGAGAGCATGGTCCTGCTGACGCCTTGATTTCAGACTGCTAACCTCCAGAACTGTGAGAGAATAAATTTCTCTTGTTTTGAGCCACTCAGTGTGTGGTACTTTGTTATGGCGGCCTGAGGAAACAAATACAGCATGCTGAAGAAAAGTAATTTTCTTTTTTCATTAATTAAAGGAATAGTTATTGAGCACCCACCATATGCCAGGCGCACCATACTAGGTGCTGGGGTTAGATCTTATACATGTTCTCTCAGACAGCATTTTCAACACTGGCTCTAAAACTATGACACTAAAAGCAAATATCTAATCAACAATCTAAAATAATTTAAAACTGTAAAATCCTGAGACATAAACTCATAGTATGTGTAGGGTCCAAACAGCTAATTTTAAAAATCTTTTTTCGTGTGTGAGGAAGATCAGCCCTGAGCTAATATCCGATGCCAATCCTCCTCTTTTTTTGTGCTGAGGAAGACTGGCCCTGAGCTAACATCTGTGCTCATCTTCCTCTACTTTATATGGGACGCCGCCACAGCATGGCTTGACAAGCGGTGTGTCAATGCGTGCCTGGGATCTGAACCTGCGAACCCTGGGCCGCCAAAGCAGAGCACACACACTTAACCCCTGCGCCACCTGGCTGGTCCCTTAAAAATCTTTTAGTCATACAAAATAAGTAACTCTTTGAATTAACCAGTATTTATTACCTTTCATCTTGATGAAATTTTATATTTTATAAACTTATATGTATATATATAAGAATATTCCAAAGCCCCTTTTATAATTGGTATTGGGTTTAAATTATAAATAATTTTTCTTTTATCCATTTTATTCTACTTTATTCTATTTATATACATTTTCTGGGGAACATATTTCAAAATGATTTTTAGATACTAAGTTTCTTATTTCTTTCAAAAGTTAATATAAAATTTAGGTTTAGAAAGGGTATAGTTGAGATGACAAGGAGGTAAATTTAACACATTAGCTAATTTTAGCAAAGCATTACTGATCACTGAGTCAAAAGTTTAACTTTGTTTTAATAAATAATAAAACCTAGAGATACCCTAATAATCTTGGAGGAAAATTCTTTTTCACACTTAGAAGGAACAGTCAATCATATAGAGGCAGCTGCTAGATAAACTGAATTCTGCTGTTATTTTCCCATAAATTCTAAAAGTGACACTGTAAATCTCTTTATTAATACTACATTGCAAACGAGCTGCTACAATCAGCTGTTAGTCAATTTTCCTTACAAATATGTCCCAACATTGATTGATCATTTCAAGTATTTAAAAAGCAACTGATACTGACTGATTGATAAAGAAAATAACATTTTTACTTAGGTATTTGTTTAAAATTTAGGAAGTAGGTTGCCATAAACAAAACAATCAAGAAAAAAATAACAGGAGCCAGCCCTGATGGCCTAGTAGTTAAAGGTCAGCATGCTCTGCTTCGGTGGCCTGGGTTTGGTTCCTGGGCGTGGAACCACACCACTTGTCTGTCAGTTGCCATGCTGTGGCAATGGCTCACAGAGAAGAACTAGAAAGACTCACAACTAAAATATACAACTATGTACTGGGGCTTTGGGGAGGGAAAAAAAAAAGAGAGGAAGATTGGCAACAGACATTAGCTCAGAGCAAATTTTTCCCAGCAAACAAAAAAGAAAAAGAAAAACATAACAGGCCTATAAAACCCAATGTCATATAATTTTAATATAACTTCAAATGATATGCATATCTTACATCATCTTGAAAGCTAAAAGACATGGATTTTACTTTCCAATTTCAAAATAACAGGTTGGCTTTAGACACTCACACTGTAAAGGTCTCTGGTTTCTTCTTTCATTTTAGGGATCTCCAGAAGTAGAGCCCAGACTTCCCCTCTGAGCTGGAGAGGGATTCCTTTGTAAATTCTCCTGTGAAACTTATCAAAAAAAACATAAATTGAAGGTTATAAACTGACAAAAGCTTAGACTAGTCCCTTAAATCAAACTAATTAATATTTCTTAGTCTTTTATTTTCAAAGCATCCATGATAACTGATACATTTTAACATGGCACATTTGGATCCTATCATCTCATACTTCTCAGATCCTAACAGGAAGATATATACCCAGAAAGGTGGAATAAATAAATAAGAAAATGTTGAGAATTCCTAGTACATTCGTATTTTCATTCCATTACAAAGGTGCTCCTTAAGTAACATGAAAGCATAATCACTGCTCTTTTTCAAGTCGTGAACATCTGATTTACACTTTCCCTGTTGATACAATTAACTCTTTACACACTTTCTTCCTATTTCTCCATACAACTAAAAGGCTCCAAATAGCAAAAAGCTTGCCTTGTGCCAAAAGTGTCTTCATGGAGTGTAGGGAATGCTGTAACCCTTAACCTCTTTCCCAACACCTTCTCTCTGGGGTTCTCTAGAACATATCAAGCTCCTTCTCTTCTATCTCATAACTCAGTTAACGCCACCCACAATCTTTAGTTCTCTCTCTCTCTCACACACACACACCCACACACTCACTCACTCTCCCTCTTTCCAATTCCTGATAGTTTCTTCAGGAAAACTTTTATTCTTTTCTTACACTGATCCTATCTGATCAGATAAAAATAGTGATAAATCTCCATCAAGAAGGAGCGCCATCACTTTTGAATGAAATGAGGCATAAATCATCAGTATTATCAATTCTTTGGGTCCTTGAAAGTACACTGCTATCGCTTTAAGAATCTTAAGACTCAATATGCTTCTTCTTCTTGTAATTATATTGTTTTCCTCAATGCTAATTATTCAAAATAACAGACAAACCTATTATACTGGTTACAAAGTTGTGCGTAATAAAACTTTGAAACTTAAAAGTAGATGTCCATATCAGACAAAATAGACTTTAAAACAAAAACTGTAAAAAGAGACAAAGAAGGGCATTACATAATGATCAAGGGAACAATCCAACAAGAGGAT